TAATTAAATTGATAAATATCAATAAATATATTAAATAAAAAATATATTAGTTATTATTTAATTTTTAATTAATAGTGCTGCAATAGTCAATGTTACACTTGTTTGAGTGCGTTCCACTGTGGCCTGCGGCTTTTTAGTTAGGCTGAAATCTTTTCTGACCAGATGGAATGGAGGAACGATTCTTTTCTCATTCTCTTTAATTTTCTTCTAACTAGTTAGTTGGAAATAGGAATTATCTCTTCAATACTTTACTCATTTTTCATATTCTCTCACAACTTTTTCTTAGTAGACAAGAGTGAGAGATCATCTGGTTGAGGTAGGTCGGTTAGCAAAATTATTAACCCGCCTAACTATTCCTTGTCCTCACATTAGTGGGACTTGAATCTTTCCCCTTTACATATTTTATTTCTTTTATTTTTTAACATTGAAAAAAAGGAAAAATGCCTAGGAAAATCCACGATTTGAATTGATGTCCCATCCAAACAAAGTCATTAAATAAGACCTCCTATATTAATTTATTCAAAATATTTTTATTTCCATTTGAATTTGGTGATCACCATAACTAAGACCTCCTTTATATATTTTATCGAAGACACTAATTATTAGAAGAAGCTGGTCACTTAATATGTTAGAGTCTTTTTAATTTAATAATTTTTATTTTATAATTTAATATAATCTATGTTGTAAAATAAAAAATTTATATTTTATTGTATGAAAGAATGTGAAGGATAGAGAAACGGGGAAGAAAGTAGCTGAGAGGTGCACGTTGTGTCCGGCGAAGAGCTTATGTGAGACGTTGCTTGACTTGCTGTAATGTGCATAAGCATATAACGTTGTGACAGCATCCTCATTTAAGATGTGTGGAATAAATGAGGGAAATATGTAATTTGTATATGGATTCATCACTCTTTGTAATTTTTTAAAGAAAATAGTACCTATTCGTATTATCTCTTAAAGTTTAAGAGAAAAATAATCTTAAAATTATGTCATTCAAATAAATTTTTAATAAAAAAGATTAAAATATTATATTTTTAAATTATGAATTATAATATTTTTTTATTATTTTATGTAATACTTTATTAAAATTACATAATTTTAAAATAATTTTTTTTAATTTTTAAAAGATAATACGGATAACCATTATCTCTTTTTTAAATAAAATACTTTATTATCGAAAAAGAAAAATCATGTACAAGATCCCCGTTAAGCGCATGCATGGTTAATTAAATGGTTAAAGCGCCCAACTCATAATTTGTGAATTCATAAGTTCAAGAGTGCTACACATTGTCTAATGAGAGGAATGAAAGTAATTTATACAGAGACCCCTCTAAGTGTTCCAATTAGCGGAATGGCCTTTGGAAAAATTTTCAACGTACCCGTAAAGCTGGTTGATAATTTAGGCCCTGATATTACTTGCACAACATTTCCTATTTCATAAACCTGCACCTGTTTTCTTAACACAAGGAAACTAGGATTTCTTAACCTTATTGATGTCGTTTATTTAGATCAATACTTAGTTCTACAATCTCAAAATTGTAAGTTCTAATTTTGGTATATACAAATTTTTTTTAATTTTTTAATTTTTTAATTTTTTGTAAATCTATATTATGTATAGTTGTAACACGTTGTACCCTATACAAAAAATAAATAAAAATAAAAATTATTAGTAACACCATTCCTTTTGGTTCAGAGCAAAATCTGTTCTAGGCAAAAACCCATTGTGGAGCACATCAAATGATTAAGGACAACGATGGGTACATTTTTGGTTTAAAATATTGTACAATACATTTTGATTTTATAATTAAAATTTAAAAAAAAAAATTTTTTACTGTAAATTTAAATTTAAAAATAATAGTTTGTTAATGAACATGTTATAAAATGTATTGAATTAAAAAGTATATTAATCATTTTCTAACGGCTAATTATTGGTTTCCAGCTGTGATGACATGTTAAAAAATTAATTAATTTTATTTAGTTGATAAACTTTTTAAATTTGAAAAGAGCCCCTTTATGTTTGACCATATGTTCAATTTTGGGGATGAAGTGATGAACTACCGGTAGAAAATTCAAGAATTCCATGGATGACATGGATCCAGAGAGAGATACTGGTTGGAAAATGGCAGCCGTCTCTTTGCTTAGTACCTTTTGAGAATATCAATATCAGGGTTTCAAAAAGGAAATCTGTCTTTGGGATTTGCAGAGTTCTGCAATAAAATCATTGAAGGATATTGCTGTTACTGTTACTATTGCTGTTTAAAATTATCAAACTCCATGTATGTCGGAAACGGGATATCATTTTCCTAGTCCTCTTCAGGAGCTAGGCGAACTTCCTGCATGGATTAAAAGGAACTTTCTTTCGATATGTTTTCTTTTCAAGGATTTCACCACAAAAGCGTATCCTAAAAAGGCTAAAGATGTAAGAGAAGCATACAAATGCTAAACAATGGAAGTTTAAACAAACTCTTAGGAATGCATACCAATCCAGAAAATTAAATTAAAGGAAAATTATTGGTACGTTATTCAATTTAATATATTTATTAATTAATTATTAAAATTTATAATTTAAAATTTTTTAATTTTAAATTTAAATTTAAAAATAATAATTTTTTAATAATATATTATAAAATATATTAAATAAGAGAACATACGAATTATCCTCTTAAATGTAGACATGTGTTGAAAAACTATAGTACTGGAGGAAGTGTGAAGCCGCCGCCCAAGGATATACATTTAGAGAATGAATGAAAGTGAGGCGATCATAAATCAGTCCTATTATATGTAAAGAAAGCAACACTAAGCAAAATAAAGCAAGTTAAACTAGATTAAACAAGTCTGGAGGCATAAATGGTGCACTAGCAGTACAAAATGAAATTTAAATGATTTGAAATGGAACATGAATTTTAATATTAACATTACTGAGTCAAGAGAAATACATTAATGAAAGTACTTGATAAATGAACAAAGAAAATGAAGCATTCCAACTATAAGGAACTACCTCTAGGGGCAAACCTTAGCATTATAAAACCAAAAAAAAAAAAAAAAAAAAAAAAAAAAAAAACTGCTTCCTCAGTGAACCATCTAAACCAAGACTAAGTGCTAATGCTGATGGCAGCCTAGAGCTAAGGACTTGACTATGCAAACTTGAATATTGAAATGCAAATAGTGTAAGGCTTAGACTTGAGCATGTAAACTTGAATATTGAAATACAAATAGTGTAAGGCTTAGTTTGAGAGGGGCAAGCCTATCTTGTCTGGCTTCAACTCCTTGTATTATGGTGCAAAGTGTCCACTGGCACAATACTGAAAATTCCTTGGAAGTCTGCTAGAGTTCTGCAACAAAAAGTTAATTTTTAGGTTGTGGAAAGATTAGTCAGGTTCAGGTTGTATAGATATGGTTACCAATTTATTTGTTAAAATTATTAAAATTATATTTAATTTAATTAATATTTATAATTTTTTTAAATAAATAATTATAATATTTAAAAATATCAATTTATAAATTAATTTTAATTTATTAAGTAATAAATATCAATTATTTTAGTTTAAAACTCTATTTTGATCCCTGAACTATTGTACGGACGTCTGATTTGATCCCCAAACTTAAAAAATTCTTAATTTGGTCCCTACTGTTTACCATTTTTACCATGATTTGGTCATTCTGTTAATTTTTTTCACATTAATTGATGGAAGAAAATAGAAGAAGCATTATGTGTTACACAAAAATAGATAACATTGTCATTCCAACTCACCCTACCCAAAAAAATAAAAACCTTTTTTTTAGCTTTTTTTTTTTCATTCCTCTCTTTCCTCTGTCCTTTCTTCAACTTTAGTAAAACCTAACATCTCAACCAATCTATTCATCTCAACCAATTTGTACCCTTGCTAGGTTCATCATCATCATCATCATCATCATCAAGCACTAAAACCCACAAAAAAAAAAAGAGAAGACTTCTTTTAAAAAAAATTTTCTGCCCCTGGATTCTTTCAAACCCAGGTGTGCTGGGTTCGAACCTAGCAAGCACCTTTGCTTTCTCCTTCCTCTTCCTTGCCTTGCCTTGCCTTCTTCATCAATCAATTCTTCATCATTATCAAATAATAAAACCCACAAAAAAAAAAAGAGAATTTTTAAAAAAAATTTTTTTGCCTCTGGGTTCCTTTTAACCCAGGTGTGGCTTTCAAGGGGAAAGAGAAACGGAAAGAGAAGGAAAAAGAAAAATAGGAAAGAAGTTTTAAAGTTATATTTTTCATATTAATATTTTTTTATATTAATATTTTTTCCATGTCATTATTTTTCGGTCTTGCCTTCCACGTATGTTAATATTTTGCCATGTCATCATAAAGCCATGAATTAACCGGACATGTCATGAGGTTTTTAATGAAAAGATCAAGTTGGGGTAAAAATAGTAAACAGTATAGACCAAATCAAGGATTTTTTAAGTTTAGGAATCAAATCGAGGGTATGTATAATAGTTCAAGGACCAAAATGAAGTTTTAAGCATTATTTTATAAGTTATTTGTTATTTTTAATAATTAAATTAAATAAAATTAATATTTTTTAAATACAATTTTAGTGGCGTACTAATAAATCGGTACAATAAGCACACCCCACTTGGGCCCCACCTGGACTTGACTGAAGAAAAAATAACAACTAACCATTGACTGGGCTAGTGTGGACTCCATGTGGCAGCAGTTGGCCCTTAACACGTGCTTATTCAAACTCACATCCGTTGCACCCCTAATTTGTTTTATAATTATATCTCTATAACTTGTGATGAAATCATTAATTAAAATGATTTAACCATTTAAAAGGATATTTGTCAACATAGGTGCCCTGTAGCAGCCATCCATTGCTGAAAATTCCAAAAGGCTACAGGTGAAAATGTATCAGTAAACTTGGTAAAAAATGCCTGCCATCACCAGGTAACCTGGTAAGATAACAACTTATGAAAATAAATGTGTTACACCATAATTAATAATTTTTTTAGATAATACCTTATGTCTCTATAAAAATTGAGTGGTTAATAATTTTTTCTGGTTTATTATGAATTATTTGATTGTGATTCAATACAATAGAGTTCATTTTATATTGGTATTGGTTGGTATGGATTATTTTTACTGAACTAGAGTCTTTAGCTGTCACACCTCAAAATCGAGAGCGAAACAAACGTTGTACACTTGTTGGAGGGTCTTACAAATGCACAAGGCTCAGACCTTAATTCATATTTGACAATCATAAAGATCCACAACTTTATAATAAAATTTAACCAATGTTCGACTAGGTCAAGAGTGTACAAAAATTATACAACTTCATTTAATAAAGTCATAACTATTTAAAGGGGATCTAGTTTACAAAAGAATGAACTATCTTCCACCATCTATATCCAAAAATATATGTGGCTAACGGCTTAACTCCATAATAATCTAAACCCAAAATACAAATGGACAACCTTCTAGCTTGTCACTCCCTTTGGTTTCCCATGTCTCAAGTCTCACTGCTTAAAATGGTGAATAAGGAAAAACTATGTGAGATAACTCAACAAGTAAAAATATGAATTGCCCTCACTGAAATTTTAAAGCATGTCAAATAAATATTTTACTTTTAAGCAAGAAGGAAATCTCAATTGTAAATTATTTATGTATATTGAAATTTATTTGGTGGTCCCTTCAATTAGTCATGGCCAACGTGCTTTCCCAACTGGCTAGATAATAGAAACACTAGTGTACTCTCCCATTAGAAAGATAATAGAAGTACCACTATACTCTCCCACTGGCTGAATGAACCGGTCCTAAGAAATACATGTCGACATGTGCCAGCTTTTATAACTCCCACTGGCAGATAACAGAATTCATGACCATATTGAAGACAAAACCATGTAAGAGTTAACAAAAAAATTCATAATTCACAAAGCGATTTCATATCATCAAAATAATCAAGTAAATTCCATGTAGGCATGCTCAACTCAATAAAATAATAACTTCATTTTAAACCAATCATGCTCGTGCTAATGAAAAATCGGGTTAAATCCCGCCACCATCTCAAAATAGTTCAAATATGCTTTTAAAACTTCTACCTTAAAAATCCAAGGGCATTTACTATAATTTTACATACCTCTCATTGTCGTTATACAATAAGCAAGAATTTAGTTCTCAAGGCAGTGGAAGTGATTTAGAACCTATACCACATTAAAGTACAAACAAGATTACAGCCTACCCCATTTAGCTAAATCGATTTCTAATTCCAGTATCAAGTTTCTAACAAAAAAAAAAAAAACAATTTCTTCCTACACATACTTACTATTTCTACCCATTGAAACCTTATTAACATATTAATTTGTTTAACCACACTTAGAGTATGCTTAAAATAACTCCAAAAGTCACATGCAACAATAGAATTTTCTAGGTAAAAATAGCAGCAATTTATGGGCAAAAACAGCAAAATTTTATGGGTAAAACAACAGAAGTTTCTAGGCAAAAACAGCAAAATTTTCTAGGTAAAACAGCAACAATTTATGGGCAAAAACAGTAGAATTTTCTAGGTAAAAACAGCAATAATTTATGGGCAAAAGTAGCAGAATTTTTTGGGTAAAACAGCAGAAGTTTCTAGGAAAAAATAGCAAAATGACAAACAAGAATTCATAAGGTATTCAAGCTAGTCACGACAATCAGGTCATTCCCAAGAAAATTCTACAACCAGAGTGAAGTGGGACAATTAATTTATACTAACAGCTGCAAAAAGCATCAAATAGTGTAGCAAATTTAGAAGCAAGAAAAGCACATACAAATTTCAAAATCACTTAGAATAACAC